CGTTATAATCATTAATCCCGTACCGTTTGACGGATGTCCTTGACTGGAAAAACTGTACTTCGGGCTCGGCGACCCGTAATTACTTCGGGAACGTGTTTTAAAGTACGATCACGTATCTACGCGCAATTTCCGATACATGCGACACCCTCTGTGAAACGCGCCACGAGCACGATACACGCGATTGTTGTTGCGTCGATCGTGTTACGGGACGTAGGTACGTAAACTTTCCTTGGATATGACTCAGCTCGTGCTATCTGCGCAAATTATTTCCTCTCTGTAATAACACACGCAATGAAGGCGCGCGCGATAAGCAAGGTAATCGGAGCGATGGCACGAAGGAAGGTGTTGTAGGAAGAAATTTATGGCATTGCTTGATGAGAAGCTCGAGAATATGCTGAATACTCGTTATATACGTTTACATTATTGGAATATTTCTGTTAAATTTCACACACATTTCACGCGTCTCAAATCATTCCGTTCAAATTTATGTATTAATTTAATACAGGATGAATATGTTAAAAGGTGATGCAAATATTATTTGAGAGAGCAAACACAAGAAGATAAGTTGAAATAAAGTGGAAGCCTATTTTTTTTTTTTCCTCAGTAAAACTAACATTTATGATATGTTAAATCAACACGTATTTCATTCATTTATCTTAGAATTTGTGTTTTCTTAAATAGATATTTATCTATTTAAATAACGTAATCACATTACGTTAAATTAACACTCGATATGTCAAAAATTCAACACAAAAGGATCAAGGACCGTTTTTAACACGAATATGAAATATTTCTTTGCTATTTATTTTGAATGATATTGTATATTAATTATCTTATAATATTTTTCATTTTGAATAAATTATCTACATTTATTTACTATAATATTGTAAATACGTGATATATTAGATGATGATATTAGACGTTGTGTCGCACAATTTTTCATAAAATAAAATCTGTTTTATTTAATTTTTTAATATACAAATTTATTTTAGTACAATAGCTTTTCGTAGTTTACGTGGAAGCGAATATAAATCCAGGATGGTGTAATTAGAAAGTTTTCAGCAGTACGAGTGTCCCATGAAACCAGCTACAAATTGCCGTAGCAATTTCTATTCTGGATTACATTACCATTCGCACCGTGAACGTGACTTCTCCGTGTCCCGCACTCGGCGATTGCTAAACTACCTCTCCCTCCCTGGTGGATATATTTCCTTTGCATTAAGAGAGGCGGCGAAAATCTCTTCCTATAGTAAACGACATGTACATATACCTACACTATAGCGGTACGAACGAGACGGAAAAGGAAGAAAAAAGCGCGCGTGAGAAGTTAATCGGCGCGCGGGTTGAGAGTTCAGCAGGAGAGAAAGTCAACGAACCAATGGCGAGCGGCACTTGATTGACTCTGAATGGCATGTCGCTTTTATTACGTGCAATCGGTCATAATCCGTCTCTCCGTTCCTCCCGTTCGCGCCGCCGGCTCGCTCGCAGTCGTCGTCCTACATCACGCCACGACCCGCATGCATACACCCGGCGTGCGTATGGCGTGCCCATACCGAAGCCAGCACACGTCCGCGAGTACTTGAAGCACCGGATAACGAGACAAGTGAAATTGTATATCGCTGTCGTTCGACCAGGATTGTCATTCGACGTGCGCACGAGCCCGCGCCGGTGATAACAGGGGGGGATACGGGATGGAAGATCCTGTAAAATAGTGTCGCAAGAAGACGTAACGTTTCGCATGGGAGTTGCGTGATTATAATTCATCCGCGCGCGCCCCGATGACAAGGAATGTAAACAACTTTGTATTATGCTTGAGTGCAAAGCTCCGTGCGTGCGCCTCTATTTTGTTTCTTTTTTTCTCTCTCTCTCTCTCTCTCTCTTTCTCTCTTTACTTAGATAAGCGGCTTACAGATAAGCGGTGTGTGATGCAACGTTTGGTATCCGCGCGCGATTAGATGTATGTGGCGTGATGTTGGTTGCGCGCGTTACGTTTGCCGAGCACTTTTAACGAGGACTTTGCCGGCTTTTGTGTCACGTCGCCCTCGTTACATCTTCTTTTTGTAAGGACGCGACGTGTCGCGCATAAAACGCGCGCTCGAAGCGATGACGCGAGCATCGAGGTAAACAGAATGTGGGTTGACATTTACTTCGCGTCTCTCGATTAGCATAGTAAACCTTCTCGCAGGCCTATAATTAGATTCGCGACTCCGCGAAGCTCCTGCACTCGACCTCGTAAAATTCTACCGTCCTGCAAGGACGCGATGTCTTTCTTTCTACGAAAAGAGACTTGATCTCTCCCCTCAACTCGAAATACATTATTCTGTTAAAGGAGAAATATTAACTACCATATAGCAACATTTTTATCAAAATAAACTAATGCACTGGAAAAAATATAAGTAATTGAACTATCATTTTTCTATTGAATAAATATTTATTTAATTGTTTATTTAGTACTATTAAAAAAAGTATATTAAAACTTAAAATTTAATAATGTTTCCAATGTAGTAAAAATGACAAAAGCGTTTGTAAATTAACGTGGAAATCTTTTTTGAGAGAATTGAAAACCTTTTTAAGAATAGAATAATAAATTTCTCTAATCCTCTTATGAGTAAATTTAAAAGATTTTGTCGGATATACCTCAATCAGAAGTGAATTGGTGCGTTTGAAATAATTTTAACTTTATTTACAATCAGAGAGGTAAAGCCGATAAATTTAGCAAATTATCAACTCTTGAAGTGAAATTGCAACGCGAATTCGGAAGGTATTGCCTGCAACTTCAGTGACTGACGTATTTACCAAGATTTCGAATCTCCGGGAAAACAGGAAAACAATATTTACCGTCCCCCTTTGCTTCGTTACTTGCTGGTTACTTGATTACATTAATTTTCAACCTGGCAGTGTCGTTCCAGAAACGAGTTCTTCGCGGAGTTAAATCGACGAGCATCGGCAACGAGCGGAAACTGTTTGTTTGATCCTCCCGGGGAAATTACTTAGTTACACGTCGAACTTCGTCCGGTAACTTCGCGACGAGTTATTTTCGAGGCCTTTTACGGCGCCACACACACCATGGCATTAACGAAGTCAGTCGGTCCAGATATCGCTATCTCGCACGACTTTTAATCACACGAATCTCGCGCATCACTGACTGATAGTATTATTGGACGTCGCTCCAATTCACTTTTCTCCAACTTTACTTCTTGTAAATCTCTCGTGTTTTTCGCACAAACCTCTTATGTAATATTCGAATTTCGCAAATTAATTAATTAATTATTTGCCACGTGAAATGGCAAATCTTATAATCGAGGTTTTTGAAATTACAAAATTGCATTTTTCATTGTTAATCGAGCAATTCTTTTATATAATATGTACAGAGTGAAGAATTAAAAGCAACTGTGTGTACTTTTTTTAACCAACTGATTATTCTGTACATAAAAATATCAAGGTATGTTTGTGAAAAAATCAATAGTTTACGAGATATCTTATATCATAATATGCCAGAATAAAATATATTTTGCAAACTATTTATTTTTCTGTATTTCTACCTCAACTTTTGTATAAAAAATAATTAAAGGGATTCTATTATTAAAAAAAATATATGTATCATTTTATTTGAAAAAGTGAAGGTATTTTTATGTGACTTTAAAAAATCCATTTTTTTTAAAGAGATTTCTTAATTATCTATTTTCCCCTCGAAATCATTCAACTTTTGTCTGAATATATTTTTAATTGAATTTGATGCACATTTTGAAGGACAATATTTTGTAACATTTTAAATTCCCCACCTTATACATTTAAAACCAACCCCACGCACGCACACAAAATATATATCGCGGCACTATTTTAACGGCAGCGTAAAGTCTCGATTTATATATCGTGTGCAATGTTAATATGATGCGAATCGAGGCAAGAAAAAGTTTACTCGCACGAATCGAGCGACCCGATGACACACGCGGAAAGTCCCCGGCAAGTTACACGAGCGTTTTGCATTTACCGTATATCTTTACACGATAATAAGAATTGTTTCGGTGATAACGAATTTGGAACAATCACGTGAATAGCACAATAGATAAATCTCAGAGAGATCGTCGCGATTCTCCATCCGACTTTACTCGTCAGGTGCGTGAGTTACCGCGAATCGAATCGGCGATCACATCGTCGGAACGACACTAAAATCCTATTCGTGACTCGTGACGATTTTTTTTTTTTTTTACCGTGCCGCGTGTTTCTCGACGGGCTTAATGGACAATAATTATTGCACACGCGCGTGACACCGTTGCGCACCGTCTGTGTTTGTTCGTTATTTGCCCGACAATTGAATGACGCGCCGTCTGGCCTGCGGTATCTGCATAACAACAGAATATAACGATAAACATTGACTTTGGAACGTATATGAAGGACGTGCGAAATGCAGAGTCCATAAACATAAAATTTATATTCAGAATTCTTTTTGTAAACAATTGTGAATCATCGTATTTTAAGTTTTATCCAACATCGCAGCGCTATGCTAATTCCGCGCGTTCCACTTCAAAGTAAATTATAGATCTAATAGCTTTGTGATACACATATATATGTATTATATGTAGTATTATGTACATATACGATGAACATAATCCACGCAAATATTACATTTTATCATAATACACATTTAATCTCATATTTATGATGTATAGAAAGAAGTCACAATTGTAAAATCGTGATCTTTTAATCCGCGCTTTAAATTCTTTAATAATTGACATCATTAAATTTATTTAAAAAGGATTAATCAAAGCATCAGTCGTTAACAGTCGAAAAATAATGTTATTATTTTTTCGTGATCAAACTTTGTCTTTGAAATTTTCGGAAAGTAATCTTGTAGACAATGTATAGATCGTATCATTAAGATAAAATGTAAGATATGAAGAAATCGTTCGTCTCAAATCGTATCTCTGTTGAATCATTAAGCGATAAGCGACGAAAATGATTGGCAGTATTGATTGAAGTAGGTATCTTATGTCCCGCAGAGGAACATGCAGTCGGCCTCGATGGCTGGATGGAGCGCTTTCATGCAGGTACCGCCGCCGAGGACGCACGGGGCGTTGACGGCTCATCCCCCCGGCAGCCACCACGGTCATCCCAGCGGTCCACCGGGTGGATCCGCCACAGCCGCCGCCACCGCGCATCCCGCCGTCGCGCAGCAACAGCAACGTGAGGAACGGGAGGCGCGGGAACGCGAGCGGGAGCGGGAGCGGGACTTCCGCGAGCGAGAGCAACGGGAACACCTGGCGGTAGCTGAAAGGCATCAACGGCAGGCCGAAGCCAGGGATCACGCCGCGCAGCAGAGAGCCGCCTACTACGCGGCGGCCACGGCACCGTCGGCTCAACAGGTACTCAAGTTGCCGCGATTTCCGCGCGAAATGGCTGAAAGGGAAGATTGGGTCAACTGTATCTATATCTAAAGGATAGTTTTGTTGAAATTTTTTTAATTTTTTATAGATATCGGAAAAGAATTTTGTTGGACCAAAAGAACAATTTTGCTGAAGTAAAAGTTTAGCTAGATACATAAATAATTTTGTTCAACTATTAAAATAATTATATGTAAATAATTATAAGCATTTTTTTATGCTTTAACAAAATTATTTTTTCACCGTCTAGTTAAATTTTTTCGGTAAAATTGTTCTTCTCGTGGAAGTTTTGTGCGAAAAATATAAGAAATTTGAGTTTTTGCATTGTACACATTACGTATCCCAATCTCTTTATTAATATATTAGAAATAAAAAAATTATATTAAGAGCATTACGTAATTTGCAGCGATGAATCGTTTTATAAACGTGTCACGATGTTTCAGGTTCGACCTTTGAACGTGTCCGGAAAAGTAGAGTACCCGCCACCACCGGCTCATTCGCGGACGTCAAAGCCGATGCAAGTCGGCAGTCTGCTCGAGAAATCATCGGTGGTTTCGCACAGCTCGTTACCGAAAGCCGAGCCGAACGTGAACCTGTTCAACTACTCGTCGACGTATCAGCCACAGCCATCTTGCACGTCATATCTGCATGATCTCAAGTTAAAGAACGAGATAGGACCGCACAAGTCGCTATCGAGTAAGAGCGGGTTGGCCGGAGGCCTCGAGAGGGACCATCATGGCAGAGAGGTGCTGCAAAACCCGCCATCCTTGCTGCCGGATTACAAGAGTTCGGTGATCGTGAAAAACGAGGGCAGGGAGCTACCGAAGACACCGGCACCGCAACAACACTCGTCCAGCCCGAAGATAATGCCTTACATGAACGTCCAGTCGGTGGCGCCGCAACACAAATCGTCAGCGTACGAATACAGAAGCCCAACGCAGAGTCCACATCATCTGCATCCCGCGCATCTGGACGGACTACAGGCGAAGAGCATCGCGTCGTTGGCGGCGTCGGCGGTGGCGGCGCGTCGACGACGACGACGCAACTGCCGAGTCCTCACGGTCATCCACCGCCACCGCCGCCGGCGCAGCCCGAGCCGCGCCTGCACTCGCACAATCCCCGTCAATCCCCGCACGCTCCGCCACAGCATCCGCACCAGCCGCCGGCGCCGCCGCATCCATCGCCGCCTGAACCGCGCTATCTCAGCAGGCCGGAATCCGCGGGTCTACCGTACGGCGCAGCCAAGTCCACGTATCCGTACCCGCATCCGCATCCGCCCACGGCCTCGTCGACGACGTCGTCGCATTACGCCGCGCCGCCGCCGGCCGGCTCCAAGCCGAAAGTCAGCAGCCCGGCGCCGCCGCATATGTACGGCAAGCCTAACTGCGGTATTACTAATTGCGGCATTATAGCCGGCACGCCGGTCTGCCGTGCCTCCGAAACGCCTGTCGCCGCGCCGATACCGCTGACCTCGAAGGCCGGCAGCTCGCCTTACCAGCAAGTGCCTCATCATCACGGGGCGCCGCCGCCACCGTTGCCACCACCCGCGCACAGCCGGTCCGTCTACGACAGTCGCTTCCCCGGCTCATTGCCGGGCGCGAAACTGCCGCCACCGACGTTGCATGGCTCGCCGCCCACGGCCGCCTCGGCGCCACTCTCAAGGCCGATCGCTCATTCCGCGCATCTCAATACCAGCCCGCACCAGCAACCCGGTCAAACGTTGCAGCACGCGCAGCCCCAGATCACCACGGCCTTCCAGACGCAACCACTCGATCTCGGTGTGGAGAGGTCGGGCTCACCGAAGAGGAAAGCACCGACGCCATTGTTATGCGACAATACCAGCGGTCAGCCAGTGTCGTTAGAAGTTTGTAAGAAGCGAAGGACCGAGGAACCACAACCGTTATCCTTACAATCTGTTGGTCCGCCCGTTCTTTCGAGGGTGAGCGAGCCCAGCCCACTTATCGCTTCAGCCGCTACGTCTATCACTACAGTTGTCAACACCGCAGCATTGCTGACGCAATCCAACAGTCAGGCGACGCAGGAGCAGCGCACAGTGACAGCGGTGAGTCCGGCTCCGGGTAACGCCAGCGGCGACGGTTCCGCCGTACGACCCGCTAGCACCGGCAGCGTATGCTCGCTAAATCCAACACCAGTGAGCGCGGCACCAAGTCCGGCGCCCATCCCCAGCCCGGCGCCGTCCACGGTACCCAGTCCAGCGCCCAGTGCACCCGGCACGCCCGCCAAGACAAACCCCAGCAACACGGACAGCGAGAAGTGTAACAGTCCAGCACCGAGACCTCCTAGCAGCACCAACTATCCAGTACATAAACTGAAAAAGGCATGGTTGCAAAGACACTCGAGGTGCGAAGACGGTACCGAGAATACTGTCAGTATGGCCGGCAGCATTACGTTACCTCTCAACATCTCCCGTGAGACAACGTCCTCGAATAGTAAGAACCGCGACAACGCGCCGACTACTTGTTTACCCAGCGCGGTTAATTCGATCCACAATATCGGTAGCATGGCAGTAAACAGCATCAATAAGAGCAAAGTTACTGGTAGAAGCGGCCGGAAACCGGCGAACAAGGAGTCGTTAAACGGTCACGCCACTGATACCAGCAAGACCCCGCAGGAGGACTCGTCTAGCAGCGACCCGGAGAGGAAGTCGCCGCCTAAACGAAAGCCACCCAAGGTATCTATTTATACAGATCGCTTACGGTAGCTCTTGTTATAATCGCTAGAAATCATTTAAAATTTGGAGTGCGTATGCTGTGCTGGTAGTTTAGTATTCGCTTATGCCAAAAATTTTATATCTCCTTATTGAATAATATGTGACTTTGTGATAAATTGTATAAAAATATGTAATTTTTTTTGTAATAATATGTAACAACGAGATGATCAAAGAATAATCGTTAAATGCAGTAATTATTAAATCTTATTTTTTATTGAAATTCTTAATGTAAAAATATCTCAAGTTTATATGCATAATTGTACGTTGGTTGATTGTGCAAATTGTGAATTTAAAGTTGTGTTCATTAATAATATATTATCTTACAACTTTTATTGCAAGATATTAGTTATTGAATTGTATTTTCTTAAAATTGTAGACAATATTTTGTAAATGAACATTTCTAAATGTCTCGATGTCATATTTTTTATCTTATAGTCAAGTATTTATAAACGACTGTTTTCAGAAATTGTGAGCAATAAGTTCAATAAAAACTTTAATATTTTAATCTTGTGCTTAATTACATATGTAGTCATTAGAATTAATAAAGTTTGTTATTTTGTATCGTAACTTTAGGTTAGGTAATAAATTTCGTAAAAAATTTGTAAAAATTATAGAAGCATGAATATGCAGTAGTTTTGTTTGCTGTGCCGTAGTTCTCAACTAGTAATTATCATAGAAGGAGAGACTCTTTATTATCGAGAATATTTGCATTTTAAAAAATGTTGATTTTGTGTTGGAAAGAAAAAACCGACCTCGAGTACTCGTACTTCTTTTCATATTAAAATGTTATATTTAAATCGGATAGACTCTAAATATTTCTTATTTTAACGATAAAGTTTCTAACATTATTATTAATTAATATTAATAATAATTAAAGTATTATTATATAATAGGAATATATTATAACAGAATTTTTCTATTATTTATTAATTATTATTAATGAATATATTCATGCGACTTTTGGAGGGAAAATTTTTTTTTAATAAAACGGCACACACACACACAACAAATACACAATTTGGGCCTTTCCCCGGAACGTCGCGTTATATATTAATTAATTATTAATGAATAATATAAAGATTGTATTATAATACATTTCTATTAAATAATATATTAAATAGGTATCTATTTTAAATTGTACATGCAATCTACGTGTGCTTTTATTTTTTGTGAACAGCAGGCTTGTTCTTTTAAGTTAAACTTCTTACACTATATACGCGCGCGGAGGTTTACGAAGCACTGAAAAGGTATACGATCCAACGCAAAATTTGAAGGGGTATAAAATTATAATGAGCATTAATAATTTTTTGAGTATTCAAAAACTTACGAAAATTGGTCGCTTTATCTCCAATGTTATCAATATCTCTTCCTTAATGTTCACTTTGGAAATCTGTAGTATACCTTACGTGTACTATAGACTTTTATTGTTAGCGATGAATAAATTGATGGAATTTCTTTTTTTTCGATCTGTCCATCATTCATTGCGGTTGGAGTAAGGGATTATTTCATTGAAATCCTGGGACCAATGCAAATTCTAACATAGGATGTCAACAGTTATAATGTCTCCGACTGTACACCTTTTTTCTTTTCCTTTTTACATTTAAAAGAAAAAGAGAACAGATGAACCATTAAAAGTAGCAGGACCTCTATTCTTGAAAAGAAAAAAAGGCTTAGGATAATCTAGGAAATACAATTGTGTTACACGTTTTCTTCGTTTTTTGAATACATTTCTTTTCATGAATAGGGGTTCAGATGAAAATAACCCATGGTATTTTAAAATGGAAACTATTGTCCTGTTGTTTGCTACAGCACTGGCTTGGCCTGGACTAAAATTTTCGTGCCTTTGTCACATCAGTCTTGAGAGATCCCTCGATCGAGCTAGTCGAATATCGGTTTCGGTCCGAGTAGTGCATCCAAAATTTTTGCCTGCCGAGTTAAAATTGTGCATTGTTTATTCGTACATCTCGAAAATTTTGATTACGTCTTTCCGTTTTTCTGTATCGTGTTCCCTAAGACAAGAGCTACTTAATTTCTAAATAAGAAGCCTTCGCCAAACACAGAATTATTGAACAATCGAATTTACTAAAACGCTTACAACGTGGGAAGAGGGTATAATTTTGCTTGACGAGCTGAAACTCGAAAGAGATGCGCATAAAATTAACAAAATTAAACGTAAAGATATAAATATCTTAAGCAGATGAATTACTAACGATTTTGTCACCTTATTTAACAGAATTTTGTCAAAGTTGGTTGTGCCATTGCATTTAAATACTTATATACATATATATAAAACAGCCTTTTTAATACCTACTAATTCAGTGTAGTGTGTGCGAATAATCGAATCTATGAGTCTCAAATCATTGAGAAGGTACGTTTTGTGGGTTATCTCCGCGTGTATATCTGTTCTTGGAACGCTAACGTTTTGTCAAGTTGAACTGCAACGTTCACGAAACGTTAGCGTTCCAAGAATGGATATCACGGAGATAACTCGCGAAACATATAGCTTCTAGAAAGTGCTCGTAGAAGTCTAGAATTATTAATGTAGTACGTCTTAATAAATAGAAAAAGAGTACATTCCCGTTATGTCCGTTTCCACCAATATGCATAAAAAATACGTATTGTGCATAAATAATAATTGTTTATTCCAAATATTTTAAAAGTTTATAAAACCGTAAATTTATTATATAAATTCATTACAAAAGTCAAATTTATTTGAAAAATATTTTGAATCCTAGTAAGTTTAATTCTGCAATTAAGATAATTAAATTATAAAAAGTTTGATTTGTTTATTATAGTTATTTGAACGTAATTACTTTTGTTGGCAATAGAATATTTTTCTATATTTCTATAAAACAGAGGGAGATATTATATCATATTTAATCTCGATTCAATTTACTTTTTATCTTTTTCTAATGCCTGAAACTAGAAAAAGATAAAGTAATTGAATTAAGATTAAAATTAAACTATTATGGAAACGGGGGCATTAAACTCTTTTTAAACTCGGCCATTTTTACGGTAATAAATATTATATGCTTATCGAGTTCACTGGCCAAATATTAAATACATGAATATATTTTATTTCAAATGTAATACTAATTTAGAGTCACACAAAGAATAGGTATCTTACTTTCTTAACGGACTTTCGTCTATTAGATCAATTCTGCAATAGGTTCGTAAGAAAGAGTGTAAGAAAGTGACCAGTCATAAAGCATTATTCTCCTCGTACTCTAGCTGTGATTGGACGAACCGATCTTATTGTAGAATTCATAAAGTGAGTTTAAATGCCGCGCAAAGGGCGCCATTTTCCTACGTAAGGCGTGTGGTATGAATCACGGGTGTTCACGGGTAACGGACGTTTCGCGAGTAACAAGTGTTTTGTCACGTACGCCTATAAACAATTGATCGACCAGTCATCGGAAAGGATTTCCGCAACGAGTGTCCGTATATCGATCTCGGACCGAGTACTCGCCATGAACAAATGTGGCAGAGGGGTAAATATCGTTGTTACTGAGAATTTTCGCCGTGATCGTAACCTAACCTCCATTCGCCTCCAAGGTGATCGCGGGACGCTGTGCACAGTAATCCTGCTTTTACCGAAGCTTTCGCGGTCGCAAATCGAATTGCGATTACAGAAGATTCGTGATTTCTTAACAGATTGTTGAATATTGTGCTAAAAAAGAAAAAGAGAATGTATTACACTAAGTACGCGCGAGACTGCAGTACGCGTTGAAAAAAGTTTCAGTGCTCCATCTCGAAAAGTGAGATTTAGGCGAGAAGGTTATGTCATTGTTTAATTTAAAAACACTTTAAAGTTGATAAACATTCAAGAATAAACTGAAAATTGAAGGCAACTATGGATAGATAGATTTATGATGAGTAAGAGGGGTTGTGTGAATGTAATTGTGTTTGAGCTGATTAGATATTATTATGCGTGACGTAATTTTCACCTTTTGCTTAGGTTTACATAGATCTTTAAACTTGATGTGCCAAATGGTAGCGCTGAAGCAGTAGTGTGGCCAGTTTAGTAGCTTCGGCTAGTAGATGCGGCAAGAGCATGAACTTCCTGACTACTTAATAATCTATGCCCTGTGGTAGGTAAAACGAAAGAAGGGCGCCGCACGGAGGCAACAAACGGCCGCGGAAGATCAGCGGAGGCGGAAGGAGGATAAGCAAGGCGGCGGTGCTGGCAGCGAGTCCAGCAATGAGAGCGAGGCAGGCTCCAGTGACACCAGCGAACAGTTGAGCTCTATTCAGCCTACGTCGAGGGTTCGACACACCACGGCCAATTCCAACAATTCCTCGGGAAACGGTTAGTTGACGTAGCTTCTTGTAAATGGACTTCCCGTCAGGTGAACTAACTATTCACTTGCAGGGTAAGTGATCTGTGATCGTAAGATTTATTCCTGTCTCTAGAGATGTATGAGAACTCGAGAGAATTTAGAGTGATTGACAAAAGAGCAAATTGAATTGCACTTAATTTGCAGAATTTTATTTCTAACCGAAAAAGGAAGATTTTATAAATGTTTGGATCTTTTTCATGTTTTTTTTCGAGTTCGCTTACCTTCTTTCAAATTTCATTGATTCGATCTCACGCACTTACCCTGTTCCCTGATTATATATCATTACACTCAGTTGCACATGCATTTTATTTTTAAGATATTATATATAGATACGTACATGATGACAATGTAAAAGAATTGATAACATTATGATATTATTATTACTAAGAGCTTTTTAACACTGAATGATTAATAATAAAATTACGCGCAAAAGTTAGAACGATAACAGACTTTCTGATGAAGCGAGATTTATGCAGGAAATAACAAGGAACCTAGGAAACGTGGTAGGAGACCAAAGAGTACGAAAAACAATGACATGGGAAGCGAGGACCAACAACCCCGTCAGAAGAAGGAACGCAGAGACGACAGTACGAGCGGCGGTAACAACGGTCCGGGCGGAAGCGGTGGACAATCCTTTCGTAAACCGACGATATCGCAACTGAAGAAATCCGGCGAGAGCTGGCTGCAGGACGGCGCCTGTTTCGAGGTGGCTTCGAAATTGGCCAAGTGCCGCGAGTGCCGATGGACGCCGAACCAACGCTCTAAGAATATCTCTCAAAATATCTTCTGCAGATTCTATGCGTTTCGCAGACTACGTTATACCAAAAACGGACAGTTGGCCATAGCGGGATTCAGTGACCCACATAAAGACGCGTCAGAGGTAAATTACGAAGATCGACATGGTCTCGACACTTATATACATTGCAATAGCGTTATAGTTAAATTACTGTAAAACGAATTAAAATAAAACGAATAGTCCTATGTTCATATCGATTGCTCATATTCGAGTTTTTTTTTTACTAATTAAAGAGATATTCGCTAGCAGTTTCTTTCTGATTAATCAAAGGACTCAATCGCCAATTGTTCAATTGCTAGTGTGATACGGGCATCGCAGTTTTAATTCGAGATGCATGCTCTCAAACGAGAACTATCGTTACAATGTTACAGGATGATCTTCGATTATGGTTACCAGGAGGAGATATCCAAAAGACAACAGGAAAGGATGATAAATCCGAGAAAAACGAGAAGGACAAAGGAGATCGACAGGTCCTAGACTTAGAAACGGCTCATCGGCTGCTTTGGCAAGTTGGCGATCATTTCTGTGATCTTTTACATCAAGAGAAGACCGCCCTCCAAGAACATATGGCTGAAGGTAACATTTTGTTCTTTTTACAACATATTTTTTTGGAACTGATCCTCCATAATTTTCGTATCAATCAACTCATACATGTCATACATATAATTAAAACATCATTAAAACAAATGCATGTATTAACTTTTATTAAAATTAATATTTTACATCATCAATATTAAATTATTTTCAATACATCGAATTTTTTATGCCTTATTTACTAATTTTTCTTGTATATAATTCAATATATCATTTTGCAAAACTATAACTTTAAATATCAGGTTGCATGGTGGCTTGCATAATTTCCTTTGTTCGCATGTTTTAACGCTTTGCGCATCGATTATGGTTACCTTTTGACAGCGAGTTCGGGGGTTATAGACGGAACAGTAGCGTGGAAACGAGTGATCCAGGGTGTTCGAGAAATGTGCGACGTGTGCGAGACTACCTTGTTCAATTATCATTGGGCCTGTGGCAAATGTGGCTTTGTCGTGTGCATCGATTGTTATAAGGTAATTTGCGTGAAATATATATATGTATACAATTTTTCCAGTTGAATACTAGAAATTACATGATGACAATTAATTCAATATTGATATTATATGATGTAATTTATAGAGCTTTTTAATACTGACGTTAATAGAAAACAATTATAGTTACTTTCTCTTTTAAAGAAGATTTATTAATAGAAATGTATTGATATTTAGGGACGTAAAAATGGAACGGTCAAAATCTGGGGCGAGAGTGGAAAAGATAGGGACGATTTTTCGTGGCTTTTGTGCACAAATAGACAAGTGCACGAACCGGAACGACTTATGCTTACGCAAATCATCGCTGGCGACAGTCTTGTACGATTGGGTCAGCGTCTACACGAATGTCGAGCAGAATGGGGAATTCCGCAACATTGTGCTTGCTCCCTCGTAACGTCGGCGCAACCAAACGAGATCCTTCGAAATCTGATCAAAGGTGAATCTGTGCCCGTTCTTAATGGAAACGTGAAACAGGAGATAAAAGAGGAGAAGAAAATAAATGAATCTAACGGTGCATCGGAAAACAAGACCAACGGCGAGGACAAAAACTCACCTCATCCGTTGAACTGGTTGGCGGATGTGGCACTGCAGAATCAGGACAAAAACGATAGCGGCACAGAATCGGACTCGGATGATGATCGCGAAGGTAATTACTCGACATTGCGGGAGTTGCTCATAAGACCGTCACACAAGTCAAACGGCAGCGGCGGATCCAGATCGAATTCACCTACGAACAATTCGAGTAGTGTGAACAATGCCCCGCAGAATAATGTCGTCAAGTCTGGCAAAAAGTCGAAAATGGATACGCTCGACGAAGTAATATCCAGTGTGATTGAAGATAGCGTGAAAACAGAAAAGGACAGTGGTTTAGATGACGAAAAGCCACGAGAATTGAAACACTTCGTACGACGTTATAAGTGGACGCAGCGCGGTCGTGAGCCATTACCAATCAGAATTATGGTGGGTACGGAGAGCCAGAGTCTTTATCCAGACGTGCCACACTCTTGGCTCTGCGACGGCAAGTTGCTGAGGTTAAGCGACCCGAATAATCTAAACAACTACAGAATATTCCAAGATCAGTGGAAACGAGGACAGCCGGTAATTGTGTCGGACGTCGCCAAGGCGCTGGACATGAATCTCTGGCATCCTGACTCATTCGCCCGCGATTTCGGCGATGAGAAGAACGATCTCATTAACTGTATGACCGGCAATCTAGTGCCGAACCAGCCAATGCGCAAATTCTGGGAAGGATTCGAGTACTATTCTAAGCGGCTTAAGGACGATCGAGGAAATCCTATGCTGTTGAAACTGAAGGATTGGCCGCCCGGTGATGATTTCGCCGAATTACTACCATCGAGATTCGCGGATTTGATGAAGGTTCTTCCATTGTCCGAATACACTCATAGAAACGGCAAGCTAAATTTGGCGAGCCGTCTACCTAATTGTTTTGTGAGACCGGATCTGGGTCCAAAAATGTATAACGCTTACGGTTCCGCTCTTCATACCAACAAAGGCACGACTAATCTTCATCTTGATATCTCGGACGCCGTGAACGTTATGGTATACGTAGGAATGCCAAAGGATGTTAATAGCGAGGAAAGTCTCAAAGGTACGTATTCATATTTTATCTTTACGCATAACCAAGCATCCGTTCGCATCGCTAATATTTTTGTCGAAATAATAATTGAGTCTTTGAAAATTAATGATTGAAATATTTACAGCTAGGACAGAGGCGATGAAAGCGATAGATGAAGCAGGCTGTGATATTCTGACGCGTCGACGTGCTCGCGATGAGAAGGAGAAACCTGGTGCTCTGTGGCACATTTATGCAGCGCGTGACGCAGACAAAATTCGAGATCTTCTGAATGCCGTTGCCTTAGAACGCGGAGCTCGTTTGGAACCTCATCACGATCCTATACATGATCAAAGTTGCTATTTAGATGGACCATTGCGGGAGCGATTGTATCGAGAATATGGTGTTGAAGGGTAAGTGTTACTTTTTATGAAAAGTATACGCTCTGAAATAATTCTTCAAACAACTTGTTAGAAGAGAAACTGTCGTCGTTTGTAATAACTTTATTAAAATAATGTTTAATATCTTATATTACAGGTACGCTATCCTCCAGTGTCTAGGCGATGCAGTATTCGTGCCAGCTGGCGCGCCACATCAGGTCCGTAATCTCCAAAATTGTATAAAGGTGGCCGAGGACTTTGTGTCGCCAGAGAACGTTGCGCATTGCTTCCACCTGACTCAGGAATTTCGTGCACTATCCGACACCCATACGAATCATGAGGATAAGCTTCAAATCAAGAACATTATTTACCATGCCGTGAAAGACTCTCTGACCGTTTTAACCAATGTTAAGGAGGATACTGTCGCTAAACTCGCCAAGGCTAACAATGAAACGAAAACAAAGGAGGAGACTTAGCCCTAGGTCTTCCCTGTATGGTCATAAAACCAATTGATAATCCCTTTGACTAGATCTCGTCGTTTGTACGAGATTGATCGCAGTTAGCGCTTCCGGACACAGCGAAGTTGGCGCAACCGGAAGAATCTGCAGAAGAAGACCGCCCTTGCTGCAAAAAGATCGTTGCGGAGGTGCGAGAATTTGTTGTGATATTTGTGAAGATTTAATGATTTTAATCGAAGGATTTGATTTGCGATATTGGCTGAGCCAACGAACTTTAGTTATATATTGTTTCATTCGAATTTCCTTATATATATATATATACACAATTCTTTTCTGCTCTCCCATTTTCCGCGACGGAAGGTGCCCACGGACATGAAGTCTGATGAGCTCTATTACGAGTGAAAACAAAATCGTAGTTCGGATCGCGCATAGGTAAAACGCCGCGTCCATTACTATTGTGATATAAGAAGGACTTTGGATCGTATACATTTATTTGTAATTAATTATATCGTGCCTGTATCCAATACATACACTCATTCACATACACACACATACACTTGTCTATATTATATAAATGTAGATAATTGAAATATTATGTAATAATTTTTGCTAGCAACTACCAGAGAGAAAGAGGGAGAGAAAAGGGGATTTGTCTAGAAGTACCTTTGTGCAATTAGGTGTGACTATAAATTATTATAGTTGGATCAGCGATAAATGCAGATCCATTTAATCGTCTGCTCTGAGATCTGGTGCTTTTCGATATTTGATCAAAACCCCGGCTAGAGATAGCCGATACGTATTCGCGTTCATGTCTTCTATGTTTCACGCAACAAGGGTGTAAAAAATAAAACACTGCCTAATTAATTGGTTCGACGACAATGGAAGAAACAGACCTTTCTCGCATTCCTTTTTTTTTTTGTTTGAGTAAACATTCGTAGACCAACGCTCGTAGAACAACGTAGAGATGCATTGTGTTTCTATGGCGACGTATGTATCGGTTATATGAGCAACGGGGTGATCTACAAGTTTTTTGTATGTCACTTCGAGTATAAGGCATCAGAACTAAAAAAAAAAAAAGTAAGAGAAATATACAACTTGTCCAAGTCTATTAACTTTTCGAGATGTAACGACGAATGTGAAACACTGTGTTGAATTGAACGTTTCATTGTTGTCGTAACCCAGTGACTACCCGGCGTGTAACGGACGGGAAAGTACTAATAAGATGAATATGTTATTTTTGTCAAAGTGTATACAAACCGTCTATATCGGACGATAAAACGAAAAGACAGCGATAATATAATTGTAACGCGAGATGCTGAGACGCTAAATAAAGATAAAATTATTTGCAGTAACATTTAAAGGGAAAAAAAAAACGGAAAAAAAGGATGATTTTTGAAGTGCCAATGTTGAATCACGTGGGACGTTAAGTATGCGCGCGTTGTATTGTATTCGTGTATGCGTAGATAAAAAAAAGAGAGAAAAAACTAAGGAAAGAGAATTAATTAGTCACGCAGAATTCACAGAGATGACAGGGCCGAGTTCCTATCATTTCGTGACAGTTCGTGCGAACGACAATATTCCGCGCTAATCGGACTGTCACTGACGATTCGAAAACTGCTGTCGCTTCCGTTTCTTTTTCTCCTTTTCGCTGAAATTCGTTCTGATGGACGTTGTATAAGCGTAAATATGTATATGAAAACGACGAAACTTTTCGAGATCAATGTTCATACCTGTAACTTGCGACATTGCAAGACACAGCAGCTCTCGAATCGAACATAATGTCGTTACGCGCCATTTTTGCGCCGATTGTCAGATAATCATCGACGAATAATCTTGATACAATGTAAAGAACAGAAAGAGTAAATGGAAGAGAAGGAAAAGAATAAATAAATAAATAAAAACCAAGATCACTGGCATTCTGGAATCCGCAATTTCTTTGATCTCAACATTCGTCTAGCATACAACGACTTGATTAATATTTAATGAGTAAATTTTTAAAATATCTTAGTGTTGATAGGTATCGATTGTGGGAATTATATAAGCTGCAAACAAGCAAAAAGTACTAACTCCACAATGGCGGTGTTGTATAAAGTTTTAGGAAGCCGTATTCTGTGTATTATTGCTGCAAAACGAGATGCTATTGTTTGTCCTCTTGCTACGTGTATATGTACATACATTTATATACATCCGTATATGTATACAGATATAAATACGAAAGCGGAAAGAGTGTCTAGGACTCATAACGATAGGAAGATACGCAAACCTTTACGAAACACGAGAAGGTACACCTTACACGCATAGGTAGATAGTTTATTATACCATTATTATAATTATTATATATTATCATTATTACGTTTAATTATTACGAAAAATACGATATTTAAATGTTGCTGAATATGAAAACGACAAACATGAACGCGCGAGTGTAAATGATTAAAAGAGGGAAAAAAAAAGAGAGAAAGAATATCGGAACAGTAACGCAGAGTAGACAAACGAGAAAGTGAGCGAGAAAGGTAGAGTGTGGATGAATGAAAGAGAGAGAATAAAGGGTATAATTGATTATGTGTGCGTATGTATGATGGCGATCCAGTGAAAATGCGACAGAATGAGAGAACGAGGGGCCGTGTATTGGGGGCGGAGTGGAATGGACGGTATCTAAAATGATGTACAGACCTTCGACTTCCCGCAAGATGTGTGTATATCCAACTCCCTAGAGAAAAAAAAAGAAAAAAATCGAGCTATATCCACCCTCTTTCCTCCCCCTGCGTCCCCTCCTGCAACCACCGGCCGCCCCCAGTCATAGCAGTTATGAACCGCGGGCCGGCAGGTCTGAGTATAATTTTTTGTACTGTGTAAATGTAAGAACCATACGTTTGAATAAGAAAAAAAATGTTTATATTACGAAACACTTGCGTTTGGATCATTGCGCCTATTACCACCCTCTTAATCGCGAGACGAATGGAACAGTCGTTTTATGAATGATTTCTTCATGGGCGAATTTTTAGCGATTCTTTAAAATTTCAATTAAACTGCTGTCTGGCAATTGAAAAGGTGAACAGTTAAGGAAGAAAGAGAGAGAGAGAGAGAGAGAGAGAGATTTATGTTGAGGAATTATATTATGAGAAGAGTTCCCTTTAAGAATTGATAAAATAGAAATTTATCTGTTTATTTTTGAAGTTTTGATTCACCTACATTTTTAAACCGTTTAATTACGATAACGATTGCTTTTGGCATTTTGAAATAATTTTGGGTTTTCTCATTTAAAAATATATATATGTTTTTTGTACAAACCAATTATAATACACAAGTGTAAATGTTTTTTTTTTTTATCAGAGAAAATGGTTATTTTAGTATAATTATCAGTTCGATATACTTATTTTAAATAGAAATAGAATTCCATTTTAATTTCACATTATTATAACAATTACATTATATTATAATGAAATGAGTACCTCAATATCTGAGAAATGAAATTTTTTTGGAGGATATTCGCATTAGGAGAGGCACCGTTAATGCCAATTTATCAACAGGTAACAATGAACATGACTTAAATTTATTACAATAATTTTATATATATATACACTCTTTAAACTTTTAGAATAAATCTTGCTCCTAAAAATTGAAAAATTGTGCCACTCTTAACTAACTCTCTGTTTTTATTCTTTAAAATACGATTCTGTTCTAAAGAATTCAGAGAATGTATTGTATTTATATTAGAAAATATTTGTATATACATATATCAGTGAGTGCTTTCCACTTACTCCATAATGACACAAGTAAACACAAACATCATTCCATCTTTCTTGACATTTCAGTGAAAAACAAAGATAAAACAACATCTCTGTCAATTTGTCCCCAAATGGAAATGCATCCTATATTTGTACCAATATAGATTAACTCTTTAATTTTAATTTCTGTTTAACTCATTTTCTATTCTTTTATAATTCTAAGAATCAGGAAAAAGGTACAAAGTAAATTAAACCGAGATAAAAATCTACCAATAACGATCGCGTGACCCTCTTTTTCCTATTTCTTTATTAAACATCGTGAACTCTTTGACGCAAATTCGATTGTCATAAAAATAGCGTCGTTTATCGGCAAATTAAAAATATAATCTTCTTGAATCCAACAATTTTATTTTAAATTAAAAAATTTCCGAGCAACGATCGCGCCGTCTCGTGCATGCGCGCGCGTTTGCCTTAAGATGGCGGCGCGATCGCCGAGGGGAAGACGATCGAGTCGAGCCGAGGCCCGCCGAGCGGTCGGCGGAGAGGAGAGTGTCACAATCGCGTTCGAGTCTTCGAGTGCGTGTGAGACGGTGGAACAATGGTCGTGCGCCGGGGTGATTTACCGTTTCTTGCTACCGTTACCGTCGTCGCCGCCACCGCCGCCGCCGCCGCCGCCGCCGTCGTCGTCGTCATCGTCGCCGAGGGTGGCAGTGCTCTGTAAGGACTAGTGGCGTCGCGCGCAAGAAAGCGGAGAAGAAGGATTACTTTCTCGGTGCGTGAAACGTAACAGAATGCTCGTTTCTTTTGCGGACGTACGTACGCGGCACCAGGACTGGATTTAATAGCAAGAGCCACGCCACGCGCCGCGCGTTCTCCGTTTCTTGTGGTACACGCCTCCTCCTTGGGCATGTCAGCGCGTTGAGTCAAAATGGCAGCCACATTAACCGCCGAGCAGGAGCAAGTGAGTAACGTCCTGAACCTTGTACGTTTTCTCTTCTTCTCTCCGCAGATACGTTTCCCGCGATCGAACGTGATTAGGTACGTCAGGACCGCCACCATCGTCACCGTCATTATCATCATCATCATTGTCGTCATTGCCATCGCCACTGTCATCGTCTTCGTCGTTGCCGGGCCTCGCCTTGAATCTCGAGAGACCGAGAGGATCGTTGAATAAACGATCGTGAATTGCGAATAGCCTCCATTAAATGTTCAAGGACTCGGAGTAGTTATCATGGCCCTTCGTCGGCGTGAAAATGAATCTTACATCTTTTTGTGATCGTATAGAGACTCTGCTCCTTCAATTCTTCAAAGTGGAATCTCATTCTAAAGAATGGAAATTAAACCTTGACAAAGGATGGCTCAATTTTCAATCTTTAAGAGTGAGATTTCACTCTTCAAAGTGACAATTCACTCTAAGGTCTAATTTTTCATTTTCTTGTTAACTTTTGGTTAGATCAATCTGATGATAATGTAAAAATTATATTTTTCTAGTTATAATTAATCATCAAACTAGTTTTGTAGCTACTTGAGTAGCTAATTCTCATTATCTGGTTAACTTGTGGTTGAGTTTAACCTGAGTTTCACTCAATAGGCTTCATCCATGACATCATGGATGAAACCTGTTGAATAAAATATCACCTTAAGCCTAACCACAAATTAATTAGTAAATAAAAAACTGAGCTTCACGCACAAAGGTTCCACTACAAAACTATTGGTTTAGTGATTAGTTAGAGAAACAATTTTTATATTCTACATTATCAAGATAAGTGAGGTTGAGTCGAAACCACAAGTTAACCAGATAATGAAAAACTATAGGATTAAAAGTTTCAAAGAGTATAACTTGTGGAGATCGGAAATCGGACGATCGTCAAGCCTCCCCTAAGGTGGAGGAGGAATTTCTTGCCGTTGTTATCGTCATTCTTGCCGTCGGATTCCGATAGACGCGTTCGCGTAAACATAAACATCATTTGCGTCCATTTCGCTCTTCGTTATCTCGTTTGGAACGTCAGGAACGTGCGATAGCGATCGTAAACACGCCACGGAAATCGCCGTCTCTTCCGACGTTGACACGGCGCGAAGCTACTTCCTTCCTTATTGTTTCTATAACGAGAGGAGAGTCGTGCGGTTGCACGGACGCTCGTGCGAGGCCGGATATTCGAACGTTTTGAACGTGTCAGGACGTTAATAATGGGCCGCGTTTCCGGCGGTTGGTTGGTTCCTTAAGTACGCCCACGCGGCTCACGTTGGGAAATTTTGAAACTATTTTGAAACTATGAACACGCTATCGAACGTATGCCCGGCCATAAGTCGATACCGTGCTCCATTCGCGCGCGTCTCGGCCTTCGCCACTTAATATTTAAAAATGCACACCTAATGTACATTAAGAACCAAGTTCTTAAAAGGAGAAAGAGAAGTATTTAAAACAATTCAATATTATCGCAATTAAATTTTAATAGATTTTTTACTCTCTAAATTGTTTTAAGTAAATCTCACTTCGAAAGAGTGAAAGCTCATTCTAATTAAGAATTTCGAGAATATAATTGTTAACGTAACGCACGAATAATATTCAGGGTTGAGCATGCATTTAAAATACTTTTATTTAAAACACAGGTTTCACAATAAAAGTAGATTTTATATTTTATATTTCAGCGGGTGTACCATGAAAGTGTTACGTATTTTGTATTTAAAATTGAAAGGTTGAAAGCTTTATGTATTTCGTAATTTAAATAATAACATTAATCGTCAATCTTAGTATTTAAAATACAAAATGTAAAATACTTTTATATACTTCCATAAAATATATAATGCAAAATATTTTCATGTATTCCGCTAAGATACAAAATACACGATACAATTGTCTTACAAATACCGTTTTCAAATAAAAGTATTTTAAATACATGCCCTGATATTATATTTATAAATAATACTTAATAACATCACAGAGATTGCAATAAAAATCACATTACGTTATGAGATAATATTTTATTTTTTTATATTGTGTTTTTCTACTGAATGTATTTTATGAGTAATATTTGAATTCTTAAAGATCATGTTACAAACGCACACACACAGTTGAAAATTGTATTTCACTCTTATTATTTTCACTTGTTATAGGGACAATAACCATGTTCTTAATTTGGGACAAAATATTAGGGATCACGTTTGTAAAACGGAATGAAGAGTTAAAATTTGGGACTACCGCTTCTAATTTGGGACGGTTGATCACCTTAATGTACATGGCGTGCGAGTCATTTGAATTCTACGTACAGGGCGCGGTCGAAATACGTGAGTGATGCTTAAATGCGGCATAAAAAGCTTCCTCCAGTTCCTGTTTGACGACACGTTTATGGCTTATGACAAATCTAATCACTGATTCTTCTTGGAACACGATTAGGAACGTTTACATCGTTGATCATCGAAGTAACCTAGCTATTTGCTTAGTAAGATTTAAAGTTGTATAATGCTTAATTTAGAAACGCGGTAGCGTTACACAAAGATATATTTTTTACGCAATACACTTGCCTTTCATAGACGAGACACTACAGTGTATCCTTTACAGGGAAAAGGAAGGTTATCTAATAATAAACTAAATTTTTTTTTAAATCAATCAATATCGTTGAATGATGTGAATGTTAAACAAGAGGCCTGTTTTTAATTGAACTTCTTGGTTTATTTTTCCTGTTTTTTTTTCTTCATTGATAGGAAAAAAGGCAAGACGAACGGTACGAGAAGTTTAACTAAAAAGAATAGGATCGTCTCAAAACTAGAAATCAGGGGAAAAACTAGAATTGTCAGAGAAATTGAAAACAGTCAGGAAAAATCCAAATTTTGCAAATGTTGAAAAATTATTGTAAAATTCTTAGCTTTAGACAAATATAATATGCGTATATTATACACACATTACGCAGTTTAGAATACTACAAACTTACAGTTAAATACAAGTAGTTTTATCAACATGAATAGTAATGTATTACTATATATTTAATTGCTCCTTCAACAAAATATTTGACGGTTTTTAAATCAGGACAAAAATATTATTAAAAGCTTCGAGGAAAATTATGAAATTTTTTCTGAAAATCAGAAAAAAGTTACAGAATTCTAAGATGAGAAATTTGTGGCAATCTGGGTCAGTAATATAGATTTTTCCTATTTAGAGTGATATATATAATGATGTACATAATAAATGCATTTGACGCACAGATATATCTAAGTATATGCATTATATTTAACGTTATATATATGCAGACGTGTTAATTACGATCACATCAGTGTCGTTCCAGTTTTAAACAGAGAATTTTAATTAAAGGACCTCTGTATCATTTATTGATTTCAAGAATGCATTAAATTTATCGGATTGGTAAATTTAGAAGTTTTGTTACAGAAACAAGTGCTGCAAGCTGCACAATTGTTTGAGTCTATTTAATCAATGGCGATGACATCAATACGACGATAATTCCACGTTACTAATTTTCGACACGAGCAAACTCGATTTGAAGCTTCAGCGGAGTTTCTTGGTAATGAGATTTTCCCGCGTATCGATTTGCGGTGTTCAATTTCCGTCTGGCCGCGTACATATTTTTAGCGAATACGAGCTCTCGTTGCATAGAAACAAAGGGAAATAATAAATCTGTCTTAACAAAAGAAATCATCTCCGTTTAAGGAGATTAAAAGACCTCGATTAATTGATCTGATCAATCGACTCTTCATTGTTATAATTATATCGCGTCGAAATAAAGGAGAATAGAATAAATATAGAGAGTTTTAACAAAAAGTTTTAATATTTGAATTAAAAAATAATTACATTTTTGAAAGAGTCTATATATAGAAAGGGGTAAAAAAAAGTCTGAAGAAAAACATCCAGATGGAGACTGGAGATAATGAATCTCAACATGAATAGTTTTAGAAACTCTCGACCAACCGCTCTTTATTCTTTTTCTTTCAAAATATTCTCAATTATGTAATGAATTTTTGTAACCGCAATATTCGCTGTTCGCTACATATCGTTCGTCTTCGGGCACGCGTTTCAAGCCATTCCCCTCGCGTTCTCGCGTTGTAATTCCAGGTTCGCTCGTTTAGCTCTGCCACGCGATTAATTCTGCCGTCGAACCTCTCCCCGTTTAGCGCGCCGGTATTCGTCGTCGCGCGCGCGCCGGAAAGAAGTAATGTCGCGACGAGGTCGACGCCGCGCCGCGCGTCGCGTCGTCCGTTTACGCGATTCGCGCTTTCACGCGCGAATTCGCGCGAGCTGTTGCGGAGGTGTCCTATCGCGCGGGGAGGACTCCGTGATATATGTATATTAAATTCCTCTTGCCGCTAATACACGCGCCCGGCGACGGCGGCGGCGGCGACTCGGTACCGCGGGTACCAACCATGCCGATCCCCACCGGCTGGCACATAACGGAAATGACCGGTGGGGAGGTAGCCGGACACCGGAAGTTGTATCGGTAGTATACCCGACGCGTGTACGTACGTGCACGCTCACGCGTCGCACGTCCACGGTCATTGCTCGTTTTAATAGCGTAAAAACGACGAATGCGTCGTCGCGCCGTTATTATGCCCCGGTGTATCAGCGATCGACGTCGTCGTCCTGTCGATCCTCGTCTTGTAATCTCGTGATATATCTCGAGTACGAATGATGGGACACCGCTGCTCGGCAATGCGCGATCGAGAACTCCGCTCGTGTCGGGGAATAAAAGCGCTCTCGTAGTTTTCGATTTAGGTCAAACATTCTTTCTAACAAGCTCTAATTTTCTATCCAATCGAATTCTTTTTTTTTTTTTTTTTTCATATCGATGTCGACAGTTAAGCGCAGATGAACAGAACACCGGCAAAAGTCTTGCATTGATTCGAATTCTGGTTGAAAATGGACAAATTAGACATTTCTGTGATTGAATAATTCATACATTCTCTAAAACTCTTAAGAGTGAGTTTCCCACTTTGAACAGTGAAATCTCATTTTTAAAGATTGAAAATTGTGACAATCTTTCAAAATTGGCATCATTTTTAACCAGAATTCCAATTAATGATCAAACTCTTTTCGAGATGACGAATATTATGCATTGTTATGTATCTATATAATAATTATAATTCTAATTGAGATAACCAGAATTCTGACTGGTATGATCAGAGAATCTTATAGTTCTTCCGTTTTCAATCAGAAATGTTTTTCAGTGCAGAACGCAGAACGCTCACGTTTCCATTTATAAAAAAATGATGAGGAAGATACCGCTTTCACGTGTTTACGTCGTCATCGTAATTCGACATCTGCGGGATTATATTTCGAAATTCCCGAGTCGAGCGCATCTTCTTTTCCTATTTTTTTTTCTTTTTTTATGATGAAATCACGTGCGATGAACTGAAGAGTCGACGAATACTCGAGATATACACGTGTTGAGTTCGCGTTGATCGGGTCACGCTGATAAAGATTGCAATTCGTGATTTCCTGTCCGCCGCACCACGAAGCGCCGCTTTCAAGGTTGACGTTATAACGTATGCAAGATGCTGAGCGATTATGACCGAAATCCTGTTGCCCAATGTATGTTTCGTTATCCTACGTTGATTTCAGCAACGTACAATAAAGTAGAAAAATTAATTACACTCATTTGCTTTTTTGTCGCGAACGATAAGAATAATAAATATCTTTATATTTGTGAAAGTTGTAATTATAAATGAATTGAAGGTTTAAAGGACTCTATTATTTTTAATAATAATTAAATAATAATTTAATTAATTTAATAATAATTTCGTCTAAGGTAGGCTTCCACTACATTGCCTTACTGATGAGTCCAGTAGTGGAAGTCGGGACGAAACGCCAAAAATTACGTGATATTCTTCGCAATATATAATATTAGAATAAATTATCAAAATTAGATTTCATATTGTAATTTGACTCTTATTCGCCTTATTTAACGTGTGAATTGTAATTATAAAGTAAAGAAATTCATATTATTATCAGCAGCAAACAACGAGAATATTATTAGTATTGAAAATGTAGATATGCTAATGTGTATGTTTAATAATGCAGAGAAACAAATATTGCGATTTATATAGAAGAATTCATCTTTATGGATATAAAAATTACAATATATCTTTACATTAATTATGTAAAACTTTCCTTTTAAAATCATGAATATGTATATATGATACTTTCTTTTCCCACACACAGGCTACAAAGGAATTCATAGAAGCTGTGAATAGGTGTAGAGCTGGTAGACGAGCTGGACCAGTATCCTGGAGCACGGCGGTCAAGTTTTTAGCGGCACGAAAGTTTGAGGTTCAACGAGCTTTAGCTTTGTACGAGCAGCACGAAGCCACTAGGAGGAGAGAGGGATTAGCAGTTCTGCATCCTACCCAGGAACCCCTACTCAGCGAACTGTATACAGGAAAATTTACTGTTCTGGTAAGATGAGAAAACCAATTAACGCAGATACGTTTTGTTTAGTTGTTGCAGCTCGAAACAAATAATATATCAATTATTTCAGCCATCAAGAGACGCAACAGGTGCAGCGATAGCTATTTTCACAGCGCATTTGCATCTTCCACAGAATACTACACATCAAACAACTTTACAAGTAAGTTTTACAAGATACATTTTTAATAACAGAATGAGAAAAGAATTTTTATAGAGTGGTAGATACTTATTTTTATGATTACAAACACTCTTATAGTTTCTAGTAAAGTTTCTAGTAAAGTTTCTAGAAAAAGTAAGCCTTTAAAATTCATAATTATTGAAGTAACCAACTTTCTCATCTTTTGCAGGGTGTTGTATATCAACTAGATGCTGCCCTTGAAAGTGCAGAAACGCAGAAGCATGGACTAGTTTTTATTTATGATATGTCTGATAGCAAGTATCAGAATTTTGATTATGACCTGTCTCAGAAAATTCTGACACTTTTGAAGGTAAGTCGATGAATATATTTTAGATACCAGTAAAAATTTATCGTAGGGTAATGCACGCGTGATTTGTCTGAAACAGACCATTAAATTTAGCGATTTAACTTGAGCATTCATTAAAAATAATAAGAATTGTATGATAGAGTGTACAAGGGCATTAAGAAATATGAGCGTAGAGAAGATTATTTTATCATGAAAGCGATCTATGACAAATTGTTTGAGAAACTTGAAAAGACGCGAACAAAAAAAGAATGGACAGTCAACTACGCGTGACTTACCTAAATAATCAGGAAGCGCGAAGTTTGTTTCCTCCTGTTCTCACCGAGGACATATAATATACGTCAACAATTTCTTGACTTCCTATTGCAAAATTGACACGCGGGAACGTCGAGCAGAATCTCGTGTTTCCTTTTTTTTCTCCGTTTTAGACACGCAGAATTAAATTAGATGATGAAATAGCAATGTCATAGATATTTTCTCCGTACATTACGCATCGATTTGCACACCGTTTTCTCTCGAAATATGCGTAACACTTTTCGGTACGGTACGATTAAGCAGTCTAACAACTAGCGTTCATTCAAGCGAAGCGGAGCACCACTGCCGCCCGGAGTTAGAAAGCGAGAAAAGAGCGTGATCGAGAGTGAGAGGAGAGTGAGTCTTGCGGCGAGTGTCCTTATGTATAACGATACACGATCTCATTTCTCTATTCCCGCCGACATGACAGAGGTGCTCTGTCACGCATAAATGTCAAATACATGAAAGAAAGCCGTTGTGCCATTCGTTCTAGCCTGAACAGCGACATGTAAACGGCTGAAGTAACGCCATTTTACAAATTTCTTTTACAAACATCTTTGAATAACTACGTATTTTTATGTTACATAAATTTCGAAATACTATAAGTAACGAGCTTTAAACTTAAGAAATCAATCAATTATAGTCAATTATTCTTTTCACGGTCGACTGTAATTGACCAATATCTTACGGCTTAAAGCTTGTTGTACTTATTGTAATTCAGGATTAAATCGTGAACTTTATAATATAGCTTGTATATAAAAGATTACTCAAAAATATTTTCTCACGCACATGAGAAAGAGAACAAGACCTAATTACGAATACATTATCATATTAATATAAATATAAAAATATTGCATTATTAGTCACTAAAAAGTTCACAGAATATTTCTTTTCCATGATAATTACCAATTTGCAAAGTGGCACAGCATTATACCCGCGATCTGAACTCCCTTAGAGACAGATGTCTTACTCTGGCATAATGAATAAGAACAGCGGTGAATTTCCGCGCTTCTAGAAGAAAAAAAATTTCTCCGAGAAGAAGCGTAATAATTATGCGAATTACATGAGCACGAAGTGCCATTTAGCTATGTCTAAGTGCGTGGCCCGATTAATATTCACGTTGCGTGCAATTTCGTCCGACGTAGTGCGGCATTATAGTTATTACCGCCACTGAAGTTAACCCAATTAGTCATCGCCGGTCGGTCGAAATAGTCTCGTGCGTTAACGCTTTGATGCGGCCAGCCCACTTACGTAAAAAAAAAAATGGTGTCATAGGCGACGTAACTGATTCACATGAGCTCCTCCGTACAAGCGTCACTTTCATGCCGTCATTATACGGATATATATACCTATATGCATGTGACGTCTTTTCACCCTGACTTTCACACGTCATCGATCATTCTTGCATAATTGAATAACGCCTCGTCGTTCTCAAGGGATGAAAATATTCCTAATCTTCTTAGCTTGTATGAAGCTAAGCTCGTTTGTAAAAATATTCTTTTCCCCAAAGACTTACGTCATACTTCGTTGAGATACTGATTATGTCGCTTCAATTGATAATACGTCATAGCTTCATTCTTCTTTTTTTTTTTTTTAGACTCCTATACTTCTTGGCGAACAGCAAAATCCACATTTAGCTTTCACGCGCGTGAGGACGTGCGGCTCGAAGAGCGGCGAGACGCTTAAGAGCGTTTACGCTTCGCGAAAGGTGGATTACGCGATTACGCGACGAGGCGCGTCGAAGTAGTGCGTAGGGTGCGACTTTCAAAGGTTTCCCATAGGAGAGACTTCCTCTTTTAACAACGTAACGTCACGTATCGTCGACGTAACTATGAAAAAAAAAATATTGGATAATCTGAGGAGGCGGTTACAGTCGCTACAGACGAGGCTCATCCTTTTTTTTGCTCTCTTCCCTCCGAGATGGTATTATCGTCGCTTGTTATCGAGAGAGCGTGAAAGTGCGAAGGACCTTCACGCGCCACGCAGTTTAATCGGATTCTAATCGCGCGGTCAACCGTACTTCCAAGGTGCTTGATAATGGCCTTTACAAAGGTTTTGGTGCGCGGTGACATTTGCATCTCAGTAGGCCGCGTAATTGATAGTCGAATTCGGTAGGCGTAGAGTGCATTTTCGCGCGCTCTGACGATCAAACGGATGTCCGCGGTAACTATTCAAAGATAATCCTCCGTCGGATAAAAATCGCATCCATAGAAAGCACGTTGAGCGTGGACGAAAAAAAGCAATGATATCGCGCTACGGTGATGCGAAATAAAGCGTTGACTGATAAGAAAGATAAAAATCAAGATAAAAGAAATTGTGACATGTCTCTTCATTTATGAATTGGTTGATTATATCAAGAATTGAGAACAAAAACTTTCTTTTTAATAGTATTTTTTCCTAGTGACAATCGTAATATCGATTACCGAAAATTGCACGAGATTCGAAGGCTGATGGCAGAAGATATGGCATAATTGTCATAGTTATGGTAAGTTAAACAAAGAAAAACGTATATATAAATTGTGAAAGGCTATTGTATGAACGCGTATACGTTTTTCTCTGTTTTACATTACATCCATGATTGCGACAAGTCTCATTCTCAGCCTAATTTCTACTATAATGATACGTATAGTTTAACTTTAATCCCGATTCACAATTAACTTCCTTTTTTTATTTTAATAAATTAGAAAAAGTTAAAATGTAAATTAAATCGGAATTAAATTAAATTAAATTTATTGATGTCTCTCTCTCCATATCTATTAATGTAAATTAATACTTTAATGTCAGTTTAATTTACTCTTCTTTTTCGTTAATTTTTAATATCGGAAGAAGATGAAAAGTAAGTTGAAACAAAATTAAAATTAAACTACATTGATATAAACGGATATAAGAGAAGTGCCGATTACGGTCAAAGTTAGAGAAGATTTTAGAATAATACGTCTATATATTTTTTAAATAGAATATTTTTTCACTTCAGCGTTTTTTACAAAGTCAAAAAGGGGTAGAGAGGATTCCGTTCAATGGATACGATTCAATGTATACGAATTTGTATATACATATAATACATATATCCAATTTTGCAAACACGCATCGAAATATTTTTTAGTTTCGAAATGCAATCATGAACCGAATTACAGTTGTAATATCACATATTAAATTGACAAGTAATTTAATAATATTAATGTTAATAAGCATTAAAGAAGGATATTAATATGTGATACTACTCTAATTCTGTTAAAGCACTAAGATCAACTTTAACCGAAAGTAGAATTATTTCTCATAATTGATTTATTTTTATCGGATTAATTTTGAAGTATAATTGTTTAGAAAACGTTTTCAAGTTATTATGATGAATGAGTTAAGTTTAAACATTACTACATATTAATCAAAAGTGAACTAATTTAACGTCATAAAAAAATCATCAAAACGTCACTCAAATGGAGTGATTAAAAAAAATGGTTAACTTAAAAAGGATGATTCTTTAAAGATTGTAAAACGAAAATGATATTTAATCATGTATTTTCTTTTCGCCGACATTATTTGATTAAATTAATAATTTGTTGTTTCAAATTGAAAAATAGTTTCTCTCCTTTTCCGGGAAATTTAATTTTTCGAGCTGTGTAACGTTTGAAGTAATAAAGAGAGCGATATATAAAACTCGCTGGGCAGAAAACGTGTGTTAAAAATAAAAGCTCAAACTACGAATAGCCCGCTTAGACCTCCGGTCTCCGCGGACAATTCTGCAATTAACGTTCGCGTTAATCAACAATTACGCACGGAAATTTCACGCTGCAGTTTCACCCAAACTGTGGATTTTCCGAGGCGTCGGGATATTCCGACGTTCGACCGGAAGCCGCGCGGATGAGAAGCACTGGTGGGCAATACGTCACCGCGTATACACGGTTGCTGCACCTCCGCTGGGAATGATAGAGGGAGAGGGGAAATTCTCGCGTAAGGGATGTCGGTGGTGAAAAGAAGGGGTCGCGTGTGGGGTGAGAGAGCGAGCGACGGCGCGGCGCGGCGCGGCGCGGCGCATGCGTTTCCGTGGCGCTCCGGATAACCGTCGACGCCGACGACGCCGACGGTCAGTAATCGTCGTGACCCCCTTGTGGCCACCACGTCGCATTCGTCGACGGACGACCCGATTATTCTCCCCTCCCGCTGTCTGTTCCCTCCCCCGTTCGTTCGATCGCGTCCTTGTTCGCGTGCGAGGCCAGCCAGTGCTTTATACACGGCGACGTCACTCCGTTCATCTCGACGACGACGACGACGACGACGACGATTAGGACGACGGAGCCCGCCGTCGTCAGCCGTGCGGTTCTCCCGCGCCGGTGTTATACTAATCTCGCGCTATCGATTAACTCGCGACCGAGTGCCGGTGCAGTGATTTCGACCAACTGGAGCTACTCTTTCGCCCAGAAGATATATATCGACGACCCTCCTGCGGTTGATATGCCCGCGACTCCAGCCGCGTCATCCGGTGGCGGCGGCTGCCTTCGCTACTCCTCACGGTAAATTTCGACTGTCAGCCGAGATCGATCGACCGACCGACCGTCTGATGGGCGACAGCTAATTCATTCTCACAGCCCGCGAGACTCTTCGCGCAATTCGACGGACGCGGACGGCAACGAAGCGCGGGCGGAATAATAAGCGCGCGCGACTCCGCGGCTAATTCGAGACCGCCCGTGTGTTCTCACCTCGCGCGCTTGCCTTGCTCCTAAAATTGTAACGCAAGCCTCGCGGAACACCGACGCTGATTTCTTCCCGGAACACGGAATCGCGTCACTGCGCCCTGTCCTCGTTACACGCTTCGCACCTCGATGACGTTTGTTGTATACGTAGCGGCTGTTACGTGCCACTGACGGCGGCGGTGGTTTCGTGGTAGTGGTGGTCCTGCTGGTGGTGGTAGTGCTGCTGCTGACGTCGTTGGCGTTACGGTACTTCCGCCCTCCGATCCGTACCCCGAGGGTTAAGTTATTCGGCTTTCTGCAGTTTATGCGCGTTACGAAATATCTAGGAAACTCGCTCGCCTCGGCAACTCGTTGATTAAACGCGAAAAAAAAATCACGGCCGGAAAGATGTTATATATATTTCTCTCCTTTTTTTTTTTTTTTTTCGTCAAGGTACTCTCCGATTCTCCGATAATCTGATTAAAGGGTCGCGTTCCTTTCGCACGTAAATCGTTTCGCGTCGCGTACGTGCTCTATAGCTGGCAAACTGATTCGCCAATGTGTAATATATGGTCTGTTCTATTATTGTAATGTCTTTGAAAGGTCGTGGCAAAACCGTGCTTTTAGAAATTATTCACGCAGAATCGCGAATTTGTGCGCGGTACTATCTGCCAGTATTTTTGCTGTTATTAAAAATTTGGAAGATATTCTATAATAAAGGTTTCGTACCCAAATTCCTTAATGACAATAAATTGAATCAATAATTTAATTAAACATTTTTTATATGTTTAATTATAATAGTAATAATTTTAAACATTTTTTTGAAAATTTTAAATTAATAATATAATCACGATTATAATAAAATAACGTCTATTTATTATAAAAATATTATAATATAAAATTTTTCTTACATGCAAATACTATGTTTTATTACGGATTATCAACTTTAATTTTTAAATCTATCGTAACTGGAATAGAACGTTAATGAAATCTTTATCGAAATATTTTTTTCTAATTTCTGATAATGAAAAGCATCAATAAGTCGTCACGTTTTGTTTATGCATCAATTTTTCAGGGTGGCTATCCGGCAAAATTAAAAAAGGTCTTGATAGTGACGGCGCCGTTGTGGTTCAAAGCGCCCTTCAAGATCCTTCGATTATTTGTTCGTGAAAAACTGAGGGACCGAGTGTTCACAGTATCCATCCCTCAGCTGACGTTGCATATCCCAAGAGAATCATTACCACATCGTTTAGGCGGCACGTTGGAGGTACAGCATGAAGCATGGCTATTACATTGTCTTAAATCCATGACGAACCGAGGCGGGGGTGAACTGTGTGAGGTTAGTATCTAATGCAACTTTCGCGATACATACATTTTTTTACCTTAATAATTTATGAGTATTGAAAAGATTTAAAAAATAAAGATTCTAAAATTTTTAAATAATTTTTTTTTTTTGGACTTATTGTCGTGAAAGTAAAATATTTTATTTGAATTACAATTATTAGACGGATCAAATTTAATTATTAGTGGAGTGTTAGAATGATTTTATTATTATTGATAATTTTAACAATTTTAATCTCATATATATATATATATATATATATACGATGATTTCAGGTCACCCCAAGAGTAGGTACACCTGTGTCGCCCACGGCGAACGATAATACGGTTCATCAAAATCCCAATGGGACTACAACACACAGTAGTTCGACTAGTCCTATAATCGATAAGAACAAACAAGTGAAAAATGGTGTGTCGAATATCAGCGATATCGAGATCACCACCGCAAATTCTGATGCTTGGATGGGAACCGATGAGGCGCCATCCCCAGTTCAACCTCCGTCCTCGGCTAGTTCTGGTTTTAGCGACGACGACAGTCTTCATGGGGATCCTGGGCTTCAGGCTGTTACCATGGAGCAATTTATAGCGGATATACATTCGCGAGGACGCGCTGGTCTCATAGCGGAATACGCGGAAATTAGACAGAGACCGCCAGATGGTTCATTTAATAATGCAAAGTGCGTAACAGCAATGTTTTGCGTTTGCACGATACCCATTAATCCTATTCGAGTTAATATATATCGTGTCGTTCATTCCAGGTTAAGGTCTAATCAATCAAAGAATCGCTATACCGATGTGCTTTGTTATGACCACAGCAGAGTCTGCCTTTCACAAATAGACGGAGATGCAACGTCTGATTACATAAATGCGAATTTCGTCGACGGTTATAAGCAAAAAAACGCATTTATCAGTACTCAGGGTCCTCTTCCGAAAACCTGCGGTGATTTCTGGAGGATGGTTTGGGAACAGCAGACGTTAGTCGTCGTTATGACTACAAGGTAGATTGCTTTACTTATACGCGTCTTGGTAAACTTTACTACATCTTACATGATGCATGATTGAAAGTTTTAAACAATTTTATCAATATCATATTTTATGTTAGAAACTTTACACGTAACTTTACGGTCTCACGTGAATATATCGTCCTTGTTTCAGAGTAGTGGAAAGAGGGCGTACAAAGTGTGCACAGTATTGGGGTCCGGAACCAGGTGATGAAGTACAAGCGGGTGGCTTCACCGTAACCACCCTTGAAGTCGATACAAATCCTGATTACACAATATCCATGCTTCTTCTTACAAACAATAAGGTACATATTTTGATATTTCTTTTCTATCGGTTATCATTAATGTCGCTATTTCTTCATATTCTATTGATTTTATTTCAGACTGATGAGACGAGGGAGGTATGCCACATGCTGTACACAGTGTGGCCAGATTACGGTGTTCCTCAGTCAGCTAAAGCTTTATTACAGTTCTTGTCCTTAGTCAGGCAGCAACAGAGCAAATTACTCGCTAGCAGAGGAGACACATGGGCTGGACATCCTCGAGGACCACCTATAGTCGTACATTGCAGCGCTGGCATCGGAAGAACAGGTAAATAGACGCTATTTCTTGCAACCAGAAATGTCATCTGGTAATTAATGCTGTTTTTTGTACTTCATCACCTGGAAACTTTTGAGGCGAGGTATGCATTAAGTTGATGCTTATTTCCAGGCACATTTTGCACCTTGGATATTTGCATATCGCGACTAGAGGACACTGGAACCGTAGACATACGAGGAACTGTCGAGAAGATTAGAGCACAAAGGGCCTACAGTATTCAAATGCCGGATCAGTACGTCTTTTGCCATCGTGCTTTGGCGGAATATGCGCTTTCCAAAGGAATGCTCAGTGCGCAGCATCTCTCCATGTTACCTCCACCGATCGAAGAGGATTCTGATTAAGAGAGTAACGAGTTCTGCTATTATATACCGGATTGATGTTCTTCCCGAGTATGCGTGTATATGTATACATAAATATGTATACATATACACACATACACACACATACTATCCTTAAAATAGCCTATTTCTACCTTAAACGACTGAAAGTTATTTTTTGCTATTGTATCCATCGATGTAACGATTGAACTTCTCGCTATTACGTCAGTCTTAAATTTCCTATGAAGCGAATTGGTCTTTTTTCAATGCCAAATAAGCGAACAGAGAATGTTTCATATTCCTGTTCTTTATGCTCTGGCAAACTATGTAAAAGTGCATCAAAAGGCACTGATCAAAGATATTTTACTAGTATAAGAATCTGGCACAAATATTGATGGATCCCATTCGACTTTCTCAAACTTAAATTATGACTCAAATTCTTTAAAATTTGAGAATTATATTTAATCTATTACGAAATGAGATCTAATTTCTAATTATTTTAATTTATTTCAAATTTTTTAATATATCGCAATTAATAAATTATAATTTCCTATTTTTTCCTGCAAATATTGTATGGAAAAGTACGTGTGAGAAATTAAATAATTTAATTATGTAATTTCTAGACTATTAAATTATAATTTAAAAAATATTTCTTGCGCACTTCTTACCGCGCTGACTCAAAATTAGCCCCTTAAAGTATTGTGTATATTTAATTATTAAGAGTCTATTATTTATTTATTATTGTTTCTAAATAATTTGAGAAAGTTGAATTATCGATCTTACTAAAAGAAAAAGAACCGATACACACACATATATATATAAAAACTTTGAAAATATATGAAAAATATAAATGTGATTATATACATTATATAAAGTTCACAAATTAATACGAATGTGGTTTGACAGTGGCTATGATGTAGCCACAATTAATTAAGATTTTGAGATTAGAAGTATCATATAATATATGATAAAATGGCTTCTGCCTTATGAAAATATAGATTATTCTAGAAAGTAATCTACATATTGATAGATGTTTTTGGGTAACCAAAGATTATCTGCTGCACAAATTTAGAAAACCGAAATTTTTTAATGTACGTAAAATTTGGTTATATATACAATCGCGCGGAGAAAATTCCGTTTTACAGGGATTAATAATCAGGGATCATATTGTAGATTAAATAATTTCCGACGCGATTAAAAATGACGAAGCCTAACGAGTGGAAAGAGCGTTAAAAATTAAATTAAGCCTTTACTTTAGTCGAGTAAAAACTTCGAATTCTCATCTGATATGCTATACGTATACATATACATATTTGTCTATAAACATATATGTATATGTATATTTATACATAAATATACACATACACGCTTCATTATGAAAATCGTAACGATTGAAAATCGTATATACTTGCAAGCATCAAACGTTTGAAGATATTTTAAAATCTAGATATATATATATAAAAAAGTCTTAACACGATGACTATGTAAATTTTACCTTCAACGGATATATACTATAATATAATAATAATTTTAAAAAGAACGCAACTGAGACGGAATGCGAAAAAAAACTTAAACTTGTTATATACATCTAGACATTCTTGATGATGTGCAATTTAAATACAAATTGATTTTTGTATGTAACTCTGAAATAATTATTCTTCAAATATATCTCATATTTCCAAGGCATATCTTTGGTTCTGTGAGACGTCTTGGTAACATGATCAAGAAGTGAAATACGCGGAAAGTTCAAATACTATTTTTAAAATCTTGATTTTCGATTATTATGATTATTATGAATTTGAAGTATGTGTACGTGTAACCTTGGATATATGTTAAAAACGTTGTGTCCAATCTGTGTTAATCGTATCCAATAAGTATTCGAATCATTTATCCGTTGAATGTGTACAAGACCTCTGCAAGGAAACTGCGATGTATGCGACAAGAGTCTCCTTGCACTGGTCGCTCGATGTTTGATAAATTACGAACTTTATCGTGGGCTATTATGATATTAGTATTGTAAAGCATTGTGATAGTCGGTAGAAGTCTCCGAAAATTTGTATCTCTATTCTTCCAAGTACTGCCATTGCCAACTATGCTAATTTCTATTTCTAATCACGCTGAGCTAAATTCTTCGCGGCATAATCACGGTACGGCCAGACCGTTCCGTGTATATATACGTACATATATTTACTAACTGATTTGTAATAATTTATTAATATTGAGTTAGGGCAAGATATATATAGTGACGCAAATTGATCAGAGAGACGAACATGTGTAGGATGCAGAATCCCTTGATTGGGATTTTTTTTGTTTTTACGTACAAGATATTCGGAAAAATTCGTTGCGAAAAATGTTTATGGGAGATCGATCGGGAGCGTTCGCATTACTTAGTTTTTCGCTAGATCTTTCGCTATAGCCTTTGGTAAAACGAATTTCCGAACATCTTGTGCAATTTTATAGTTTCACGTAGAGCGTTGTAAGATTTTATTTCGGCAGAACGATAACGAGAGAATTGTTGAAGACGTCTTCGAATTTTATACGAAACCATACGCGCTGCTGTATCGCGTGGGCGCGAGGAAGCTTAGTCACGTTTAAATAAGTTAACGATACTTGGACATAATATTTATAAGTTCCTCTTACCCTTAGGTTACCTACAAAGGGCATATTATCGATATTGATTATCGTTTATTATGTTACTACATTTACGTAATCTATTAATAATCAGCATTATCCTTTTTGTATTTATCTTAACTATTTATTGTATCGATTGATTTAAATCTCCATGTGATGTATATATATGCATATAATTATCATGAATGTCTCAATCTTCACTCTTAAGGATGTTTGATAGACAAATAAAGAACACATATATTAATATTTATATTTTAAATAACTATATACACATATAAAAGTTGTGTTTATAATATTCTGTTTTTATTAAACAACACATTTTTATAGTTTATTTTATTTCTTATTATATTCTCATTGTTATAAACTAAAATTTAAAAAATAACAAAGATTTAAATATTTTTGTATAAGTACTTCAAATATTCAAAATAACTTATGCAAAGTTTTATTATGATTCATTGAGATTAGTTATACAAAGATTTAGAACAAATATTTTCTTTATTTGCTGGCAACTAATTTCTGCATCGCAATGTAACTTTACATAAATAATCTTGTGAATACATAAGTACTTATATTAAAAAATTGAGATTTCTGATTTATTTTATAATACATTTTTACAAATTTCTATTAGAATACAGATGTAAAAAATATTTCTTATTTTGAAATTACTACTTATGACTCAGAGATAGTAAACCGTTACTGAAAAAAGTTTGTTGGATTATTTTTAAACACGATTTAGAATAATCTGTGATTTTTTCATGTTTTTATTATTTTGAAATATCAACAAACATCCTTAACAGTGATATTCGTTTAGCGTTCTTTTTTTTCATCTATTTTTTGGGAAGGTTTCTTTTATACAAAGTGCGAAAAATGGAAATCTAATTTGACTGTCTCGATCAAGTGTGAATGTACAGTGCGACTTTTATAGCTATTTTTGCGTGTGCCTCCCTCGCATCATAATATGTTAATGACGGATTGAGCCCCCGTCAATGAATGTCGTCAAGACGGATCAAAGTTTCTCGTAATGGAATCGTGGACGAAACGATTAATTAACGCGGAGTAAAGTAATTATATACTATAATACGCAAACGCACTCGAGTGCGTGTATTAAGCTTTTGAACTGAGGGTAGGTAGTTCAAAGTAATCGACTCAACAGTATTATACCTCATTAAATGTTCGCGATTCTTCTCTTCTCGCCAAATCGATTTTCTTTGCCGGCATCGGACATTTGGGATTTATCGTTCATCTTTGAATATGTATGCGAATAAATGATTTAAACGAAAATAATAATACGTCATAACTTAATAATTGATTATTGCGATAAAGTCTAAGTGAGAAAAGTTCATCAAAGGGAGAAGAATAAACAGAAAATTTTATGCCAATGTGTATGTAAATTATACAGTGGACTGTAACTCTCAAATTTCCGATATATTTCCATTCCTTCAACACGTGTTAAGTTGCGAACTTGTACCATTGTTGCTACGTCTTGCGATTCGTTTCGGTAATTTGCACTTGTAACGTATAACTCGCTATTTGTAGCCCTTGAAGATTCGTCACCGATGTTATACACGTTTCTATATCGAGGTATTGATAAAAGAGGTTGATATAATCGTCTAATTATTATTTAATGCGATAGATGCCCAACATTTTTGTATTACATTAAATGCGATGTTAAAGAAGCGAAGCGCAAAGCGAAAGGAGCTGCAATAGGAGAACCTAATGTTTTATGTGTATATCTGGTGTATGCAACACGTGTCGTAATAATTAAGATTCTCACGAGATGAAGAAAAAGATTGTTAAAATATTACGAAAATGGAGAAAGTAAAAGCAGCGAGGGAAAGAAAAAAATTGTATATAGAAATGATATGACTTTAAATTACTATCTTGCACACATGATTGTATCTAATTAATAATTATTTAATATATTGCAAATATAAATGGTACAAATTCTGAGGTTTTATTGCATTTTGAAATCATATCTTAATTAAAATTTAAATAACTAAATGTATAGATACTTAATGTTTTCCACAGATTCGTATATCATGTATATTATTTCTTTTATTTCATAATATTATATTGTTGTTAAGGTAACTAACAAAATAACTAATAAAAAAAAAACAATATAATATGTACAATAAACTTAACAAAACTTGTAATTTGAAACATATATGACGTGCATATGCATATTGTGTATATTTATATAATTTTTAGTTTGAGAATTTAATAATTTTTGAATCTAATTTTCTGAATTTAATAACTTTTAAAGTATACAATAGTTCAATTTTTCAAATTTAACTTATGGCGTTTTCGACCCGACTAACGAGCCGTCCAATCAGAGCTCTGAGATATAAGTTCGATATTAAGTTCGATATTATATCTCAGAGCTCTGATTGGATGGATCATTATTTCCTGTTGCCTATTGTGTTTCCAGCTTTAGAG